TCTCCCTCACCCACCTCTCTGCTGCTCATCCCCCAAAGAGGAGGTTATATGTAGCTCCCTGTGATCCATTCCCTTTCTCTCCTGGTATCGCCACTGTCACCCCTGGTCCTGAGAGGTTCATCTGTCCTAGATTCCCTGCGTATCCAATTCCCATCTGTGATCCATCCCCTTTCTCTCCTGGTATCGCCACTGTCACCCCTGGTCCTGAGAGGTTCATCTGTCCTAGATTCCCTGCGTATCCAATTCCCATCTGTACCGCTGTGCATCATCTGGTCTAACCAGGTCTGCAAGGCCCTTATTTGAAGCTTTTGCGGACCTCATTAGCTGCTCGCCTCTCCTGTTACTGGTCTACGTATTTCTGAAGACCGGTGTAGCAAGCACCCCGAGCCTTACCGGTCCTTGCAGCTTAGGTTCCATTGTCATCTGTTTTGCTTTAGCCATTAAAAAGATTTTGACTCAGCAACCCCATGATGGAGTAGAGCCGCTTCTAGATTTTCTAGCTGGTAGTCTTTCCAAGAGATCACCAGGTTTTCCAGTGAAGGTGCAAAGTGATTGAACTGCCAACTTTAAAATTGACATCCAAGCGAACAGAACTTTATTAATGTAATGTCACTGAAGATAATCCATAAATGCTCCAGTAATTAATTGGTCTTCTCCTGAAGAGTGGCTGTAGTTACTCTTTGGGCTAATTTTTCTGTAACGATCGGGTTTTACTATTAACAGCTCAATTAATCATTAAACTAGCTTTATCACTGTTAGCATCTGAGTAATTTTATATCATATTAGCAGGACTTTATTTTTACCATACTGCTGTAACACATGTTTTGTTTTTGAAAGATAAAAGCCATTGGCCAGACAGAACTGAATGCAAGCAATCCAGAAGAAGTGTTACAGCTGGCAGCACAGAGAAGGAAAAAAAAGTTTCTCCAAGCAATGGCAAAACTTTACTTTTAAGCAATTAAGATTTTATTTTTTAAACGATGGCCTAAAAATAAACAGTATTAAAAGATTAAGTTTATTAATACATATGTACATTTAGTGGTGGTTTCTTTTAAGACAAAATACTGAAATATTAGTTAACACAAACAAACCCCCCAAAATCTATATACAGACTTCATACCATAAAAATAGCTTAAATTATTTCACATCTGGTAACAGAAAACTAGTTATCCAGTAAAATCTTTTTCGAATTCCATTTCTGAGGCTGAAATTAATAAACCTAATTGATTTCCATAAAGGTGGCTACATACACACATGTTGTGTCAAGGTTTGTTTTTGGTAATAAATAGATTTCCCTAGGAGTCAGCATACAAGAATGCTCTACTGGCTTAAGAATGGAGCTTAGGTCAAGTGTTTTAATCACTTTGACACCTGATAATGTAGACTTCTACAAAGGCCTTAACAATTTGGGGAAGATAAATAACGGCTAAGTCACACTGAAGAAAACTCCTAGGGACAGAGTAATAAAGTGACTTTTTCATATAGTTTTAAAAGGTACATTTTCACCCAAATTGTGGTATAGAAAAAGATTACAAAGCAACTTACCTGGCCAAAACAAACCCCAAATAGGCACCATTGTGCTTATCTTGTTTACAATTTCTTTGGTAATCCTACACAGTTTAGAGCACAATTTAAACATCTGTTCATCTAAGCCCTTCTTACTGTTAAATACATTATGGCAACTTATAAAACATTAGTTTTTACCATTTATAAAAATTAAAGTTTTGTAACAGCTTGCTTTATTTACTTTATTACAACTCAAACTTTGTAAACAAGTTTTCTTTTTAAGAATCAGAATGGATGAATATTGAGACTTAACAGATTCAAAGTACTGTGTCACTTAGTATACCTTTTAAGGTAGCACTTCAGTTCAAAAGTCCAATAAAAAAGTTACTGGTATATCAAGATAACACAAAGTAACACTGGACTGTGAAAAAATGTTGGCGGTGGTACAAATTGCAGCTAGCTTCTGTCTAGTCCTTGGGAATGAAATCATCTTTGTAAACAAGTTTTGCTGTTTAATAGCTAACACAATAAATTTCTCCCTTAGTGCCTATTTTAAGTGAGTGCTGAGGATAATCACAGCTTGTTTTGGTGAAATTGATTGGTTGAGATTTTACAGCATAGTTGGTCAATTCCAACATATCTGCTAATCTAGTTTTCCTGGTGGTTTTTCAGTGCTCTTTGGTGGTGTCATGATGCCTCCATTGCACATGGGTGACAACTGTCCCCCTTTTCTGAAGGTGTTTATGTAATTTACTTCATCCTACAAGTGAAGACATCAGATATTAACAGATAAAGCATCACATAGTAAAACAAGTGTATCCAGACCTAATTAAGTTTCTTAGTCTGTGTAACAAGTCATATTTTCAAAGGTAAACAGTTTCAAGTGCTTCTAAGTATGTATTCATTACTCTTACCTGGACTATTGGCATCGACTTGAGACACGATTTGCAAGCCTGACTTTGATTTCTAGCTTAACTTTTCTAAATTGTGAAATCAGTGTCATAGAACTTTGTCTTCTTGCCATCTTATTTCTGCACAGCCTTACTATCAGTTCCTGTGATTTACTAGATAGTCAAACGACAAGGAAAAAATGCCACAAAAATACATACCAGCATAACCAGGTAATTTGAATGTGTCTGAATGTTGTGTCTATCTTCCATTGGAATCTTCTTAAAAGCCTTCAGCTTCACTGGACTATTGCTCTTTATTACATTGACAAAAGGTACCATCCAGTCTACACATTCAGAAATAACGTCCCATTCCAAACCTAGATAAAAGTTCATAAAAATGTGAAGGTTACATCACTAATGTACATCAATGTGGAGGTTACTCATAAATTTCTTCCAAATGTTAAGGTCGTTCTTTTAAAACTCATAAAAAGAAACCAAAATTAATAAGTTTAGTAAAAAAAAAAAAAAAAGATCACTCTCAAACTACCAATGACTATTTAGAAAGGGAACAGTACTTCAGAGTTTTCTAACCAGTATTTTCTAAATACTAAACTCTCAATCTCAAAGGATTCTAAGAACAAAGCAGAAGGAATCAATGTCAATTCACTTCACATGTCTGCAGGAAAACTTCAAAAGCCCATGGACATTTTTCATTATCGTTTACTTCCATGTGAACTCTTTGAAGCCCCCTGATATTTAACAGGATGTTAACGTTTATAAGTTGGAAGTTGTCAACAGATGAGACCTGAAGCGTTACCTGAAGCTTTCTTTACCACTTCATGGGAAGTAAAATGGCACAGGGCAGCAGCAGCCAGTATTCTGTACTGGAACTCTAATGAATCCACAGCTAGAATACACAGATCTAAAAGCTAACAAGGGAAAAAGCCAAATTACAAGTGCATTAGGAAAATGAGTAAAACATACTCCTACTATAAACAGTAAGTTAATATTTTAGAAAGTTTATGTTTACTGTATGCCAGGAAATACTTAAGCTTTAGGGATCCAGTGAGAACCCACCAACCTGAAGGAACTCAAGTCTTGGGACTGTGTCAGGGAGTAAAGCGACAAGTCAAGAGTTCTGTGGTTGGAAAGTCAACTAATTCTAACTGGGTGAGACAGGTATTACAGGCTTTTGAAGTCTTAAAACAGGGTAACCTTGAGAATGCACTTTAAAGCACGTTTTCCCTTGGAACAAATTCAGAAAAAAAAAAATTGTGTGTGTGTGTATATATATATAAAGAAATTAAGTATATAAATAAGGTATTCATTCCTCTAAAAAAAAAATAGGAGCAGCAAGTGGGCAAGTTAGATCAGAAAGGGCCTTTTATATTAAATCAGAACCTAATAGGCTGATTATGAATGGTTTTCCCCATTGGTCCACAACGTAGAATAATTGGAAGTGAACTTTGAGCTCTAGAAATGGTTTCCGCATTATTTATCAGCTTACAAGTTTTTCCTCATCAGAAGCATACAATTTGCCAATGGCAATTCGGGATGCTGGGAATTTTGACTGAAGAACTTTCTAATATATTTAATGGCTATCTAGTTTTAATGTACTGACTAAATTTAAAACAAGTTTCAACATAGGTGACTGAATGTCCTGCCCCCCTCAGAAACCCCACATAAATTCCATGTGTAGCATCTTCACAGCCCACGATTTTCTTCACTCATTACAGCAGCCTTAAGACTGCTTATGATAGGAGTGGTCAAGGAAGAATGAATCCTCCTCAAGTCACCACTGTCAAAAAGTTTAACCTGGGAAAGTTAAACTCAAAAAGCAAAATGGAGTGATTTGGTGTAGGGGTTTCTGGTTTATACCCACCAGCAGTTCCCTGGGAGAAAGACGAAGCTGCTCCAGTAAAGATTTACAAAGCCCTCATTACCCCATATAGGGCTTCTGGAGTCAACAGACTCAATAGCAATAAATACCTTGGAACCTACAGGTTATTTCTCCCTCCAATAAGCCCTGAGACCTGACTTTTATAAGATGTCTGAAACATTTGAGGAAATGAAGAAACTAAATGTTTATAGAATTCCATCTCCCCTTTTCTACTACTTAGGTATAATCAGCAATACTTCAAATCAAAGAACAGCCAAGTACTAATAAAAGTGTAAAGACTTTTCTAGAATTATTAAGCAACCAAATATATTGGGAACAGGTTTGTTCTAGTCAATTAGAGTGAATGATAATTTCACTATAATAATTCAATATCCTGTTACCTTTTAAAGCCTACATATACACAAGTGTAGAAGCTATATAGCCAACACAAAGATCCAGAAATTAACAATAACATTAGCGTGTGCACAACAAAACTGCCAGTACCTGAGCTATTTGGATGAACTTTTCCTGAGAATACTGAGGTAGAAGAACTTTAGGAGCATCTTTAAGAGCATCAACTTGGAGAAAGAGATTCAGCCAGGAGATGATTGTTACTGGACAAAGTTCCCATTTTAAAGCCTGTTAATGACATTTCAAATGCTTGTTAACCAATGTATACCCCACACCAGTCATTTAAGAAACTTAATCTGCTTTAAACTTACATCTTCAGAATTCTATTATTCTGATCCTTCTCATTTTTATTAAAAATATTTAAAGACATAATCTAAAGCTGCTTTTTTTTATTAAGTCTGTTACTGATGAAGACCACCTGACTATTCCTTGTCTTTTAATTTGCCAAATTTGTTTATCCTATTCCAACTTTTCCAATTTCTTACAGCCTTTGTGGTCTCCCTGCATCTGTTCACTGCTTTACTGAAATTGCCCTTTGAATAGTATTTAATGACTTCTTCAAGGCTAATTTCATTTGCATGTATCTTCTAAAAGGATAGCCCTTCCCTTCTTATGGTCAAAATATAAATGTTAAAAAAAATAAAATTAACAAAACAAAACAAACCCACAGGTTATTTTTTTCCTCCAACAAGCCCTGGGCCTCACTTTTATGATGCCTGGAACATGCTGAACTGGAGTCTGCATGTTTATAGGGCTGCCAGAGGAATCCATCTCCCCTTTACTTCCTTAGTATAATCAGCAGTACTTCAAATCTAAACCTGGAGAACTTATTAAAACCTTATTAAATGCCAGTAAGATCTCATTCTAATAGAGCTATCAGAAAGTTTAACAGTGAACTGAAGGTATTTGTAAATAATGGGTAAGTAGTGGGTCAGATGTCTTCTTTATGTCTGATTTATCCACGATGTCCAAATTTAACTACATACCCTTAAGTAACATTTACCTTGTTAACCTCTTAATTCAGCGGTTCTCAACCTGTGGGTCATGACCCCTTTGGGGGTTGAGTGACTCTTTCACAGGAGTTGCCCGATTCATAACAATAGCAAACTGTACAGAGTTATGAAGTAGCAACGAAAATAGTATTATGGTTGGGGGTCACAACAATATGAACTGTATTAAAGGGTCGCATTAGGAAGGTTGAGAACCACTGTTCTAATTGAAGGTCTAATTAAACACCTTTATGCATCTCTCCTCCACCCTTCTATTAATAGAATTATTTCATTTCTATATGCAGAGAAAGGGCTGGAGAAAATAGAAATTTGAGTCATTATGAATTTCATAGATATACATGATATGCTAAATAGCTACATGTACTGAAAGTAGTTTCCCTTAAATCACTTTTAATCAGTATAAGAAACTAGATCCTAGCTATATGAACCACCAATAAAATTAACAAACAAACAAACAAAACTAGATCCTAGTACTAAAACCTTTATTTACAATACAGCCTTTAAAATTGTTATAAATTGCAACTAGAAATAATGATAATAAAATTATTACCTTTAATATAAAGAGTTCCATCCTTAAGATATCCTCTTCGTTGCATGCACCATCAGTGACATAAGCAAACTCGTGGAGCTTAGGAGCATAGATTTCCTTTAAAATGGAATTATTAAATACAATTAAAGCTGTAATTGAAACAACTATATGCTAACTACAGTTTTTTACAAAGATACCTTCATAAAGTTATAAAATTGACACTACCCAAATTCTGATAGATATATATCTAGATAACTAAATTAGCCATACTATACTGATTATAATCATTATTGATAGAATTGACCTTGAGTCTTAACAAATTAGTACGAGAGTCTTACCTCAACTTTAAAAATCAAAATTAAAAAAAAAATCAAAATTAATAAGTAATATTTAACACTACTTAGTATATTGTCTGGCCAAAACAAGGTATTCAGCAATAAGGTCTAGAAACAACAATTCTTTTACTCTGGTACAAAAGCATGGTTAATAAAAAATTTAAGAAAAAAAAACTTTTGTGTGCTTTGGCTGACAAGAGGTCTACTTGAGCCATTCAGGTAAGTAAAGCTGAAAGAACAAAGAAGAGATGTCTGTGAAAAGGCAAACGATTAGGGTTTCAGCATAGAAAGATGTGAAACAGTATGATTTCCTGTGAAGACAGAATGAATACAAAGTTATTTATGAAAGCTGACAGAACTTGGGGATGGCTGCTGGTAAAGTTCAACAGATGCATATTTGGAAGAAAAAAAATACATTTAATTGCATTTGGGGCATAATCATAATCCTTTTCCTGACTGCAAAACAAGACAGACCAAACTTTTTAGATAAAAGTACCGATGGTATCTGTAATACACTCTAGGGGAAATAAGTTGGTCTTTTTGGTGGACAAAAGTCAAATATAAGGACTAAGTTTACTGGGCAGGTGGATGGAGACTGATGGGATCCCAGAGACTCTAGTCATCCTTTAGGTCTGGATAATAACTCAGCCTTAGGGCTCAATTTATAACTATACCAAAGAGAAGTCTATAGTAAAGGAAGAGAAATGGAAACCAGAAACAAAGGTAGGAAGTAATATTATACTGCATCGATGAAACTATAGATTGTTGCTTAAAGTAAAACTTATTATTCTGTAAACATTTACCTAATCATAATAGGAACTACAATTTATTCTGAGGATAATGTTGAGAAAATTTACCTAGGCGTGGGTGGGGAAAGGTATACTTACTTTTTTCCAAAGGCGTCCATGTAATAGTAGTGTACTCTGGGATTAACATGTTAATTTAAAAAAACAAAGTTTAGAATATCTGTATGGATTACCTTTCAGAACTTACCTCAAGTTTGGAAGCAATGAATAAAGAGGTGATTCCAATGAGTTGAAGCATGTTTTTATTGACATCCTTTTGTGTCAACATAAATCTATCAAAAAAGTCTTGTGCAAGATAAAATGTTTCCCTATGAAGAGTGTATACTTCACATACCTAGAGAAGAATTCAAACATTTAAATATTACCCTCTAAAGTTTTCCAAATTAGAATGTCATCTCTTAGCATACCATATGTTAAAAATCTTTTTTTTTTTTATAGAGGATATCAAAGCTAAGACCAAAAACCCACTGCTATGGAGTAGATGTGATTCAGTGACCCTACATATTGTTTCTAAGGCTGTAAATCTGTGTAGGAGCAGAACCTAGGTCACTATGAGCTAATAAGATAAACTCACTGCCCGAGTCAATGGGGACACATAGCTACTGAATAGGAGAGGACAGAACTGCCCCTTTGAGTTTCCTGAGACTAACTATTTAACCAGAGTAGAAAGCCCTTTTCCTGTGGACCTTGCCGATAGCAGCCCATTGGGTAACCACTATGCAACCAGGGTTCCTTGAGCTAAGATGTGAGGTGGTGGGGAACACATGCTAATAGTGGAATACATGTTGGGCTGCTAACCACAGGTCAGCAGTTAAGGCTTTCTACTCCTGTAGAGATTTATAGTGTTGGAGAAATGGGCAGCTCTATCTTGTCCTTGAGGGTTAGCTATGAGTCAGAATTGACTTGAAATTTACAAGGGACAATTCTCTGTCCTACTGGGCCACTGAGTCAAAATCTGACACAAAAGCAGTATTTTCTGGCTAATAAGCCACTTGCTATCAAGTCATTTCCAACTCCATTTGTGTTAGAACACTGGCTTTTTTGAAATAGGTAACATTATCATGCCAAAATTCAAAACAAGGAAATAAAAGTATAGAGATAATGCAGTTGCTGATAAAGTTATTGTGTTAATAAAATTTTTAATGCATATTTTTAAATTAGTGAATGTGGATTTTAAAACTGCTTTCAATTGAGATTTTATGGTTTTCTCCTTTAAGCTATAAAAAGTGATTAGATTTTCAAATGTATCATCTTTGCATTTCTAGACTAAAAGAACATAAAAATTTAACACTACTCTGTTGGTTTTACACATGAGAAAAATAAATGTAACTTTGCTAATGCTGCTTCCATGATCCTTACACACTCATAAAAGCCCAATTATCTTATACCCACCCACGTGACTGAAATACAATCTTCCATTCTAATTACATTTTTTAAAAAAATCGTTTTATTAGGGGCTCATACAACTCATCACAATCCACAGATACATCAATTGTGTAAAGTGCATTTGTACATGCATTGCCCTCATCATTCTCAAAACATTTGCTCTCCACCTAAGCCCCTGGCATCAGCTCATTTTTCCCTTCCCTCATGAACCCTTGATAATTTATAAATTATTATTTCGTCATGTCTTGCCCTGTCTAACGTCTCCCTTCACCCACTTTTCTGTTGTCCATCCCTCAGGGAGGAAGTCGCATGTAGATCCTAGTAATCAGTTCCCCCTTTCCAACTCACCCTCCCTCCACCCTCCCAGTATCGCTACTCATACCACTGGTCCTGAAAGGATCATCCATCCTGGATTCCCGGTTCCTATCTGTACCACTGTACATCCTCTGGTCTAGCCAGACTTGCAAGGTAGAATTCGGATCATGATAGTGGGAGCGGGGGAGAAGAAGCATTTAGGAACTAGAGGAAAGTTGTATTTTTCATCGTTGCTACATTGCACCCTGACTGGCTCGTCTCTTCCCCATACCCTTCTGAAGGGGATGTCCAGTGGCCTACAAATGGGCTTTGGGTCTCCACTCCGCACTAACCCCTCATTCCCTATGATAAGATTTTTTGTTCTGATGATGCCTGATACCTGATCCCTTCGACACCTCGTGATCGCACAGGCTGGTGTGCTTCTTCCACGTGAACTTTGTTGCTTCTGAGCTAGATGGCCGCTTGTTTACCTTCAAGCCTTTAAGACCCCAGACGCTATATCTTCTAATTACATTCTAATAATAAGAAATGACTGGACTCAAAGCTGTTTTGTAGTCTGCAAATTTTATGGTATGTTGGTCAAAAGACTTAGTTTTCCTCTTTAGGATTTATTATATCCATCTGTTTTAAAAATTAAATATCCAAGGTCTATGGTTTGGAGGAAAATCAGTGTGTATTAACATGATGTAGAAACTGCTTCTGAAACTGCTCCCTGAAGTCTAGTCCTGGTTCTTTACTTTTCATGGAAATCAAAGCCCGACCAATTACCGTATATACTCGTGTATAAGCCAAGTTTCAGCACATTTTGTACAGTTTTTGTGGTAAAATTAAGTGCCTTGGCTGATACTCGGGTTGGCTTATACTCGAGTATATTTGGTAGACATTTTGTACCTCTTTAAGTACTCTTGGCACTTAGTTTTCTTGACACCAGGTACAATGCAGTATCTACTGTTAATATGAATTCCAACGTGGGTATGGATTGTAAGGGATGTAGTGGCTGTGTCCAGATGGTTTTCATCTTAGACTGATTTTCTGCTTTGTCACTAACAAACATAGGAAGAACCAAAAAAAGATGGCAGCGAGAAACCAATCATATACTCTAATTGTGGATACACAGAAAACACTTTTTTACATCTAAATATTTTTACTTCATACAGAGACAATACTTTTTAATTGAACATACCTCTAAAAGCCAATCTAGAAGTATTGACCTCATCTGTGGTTCCAAGTCAGAATGCAGAACTTCAAAATGCTTGTCATGAACATATCTGCTCTCTTTTTTCAACATATTTTGCCAAACTTCATTTGAACATCCCCAGCTTAGAAAGAGGTGGGGCATAGTTTAAATTGTGTGGTCTATATAATATACAAACTATCTGTTCTACATAAAATAAATTCAACTTTCAGACATTGAAATCCAACTTGGCATTTGAACCTGAAAGGAAATGCTCTTAAGGTTAATTATGAAAATATTTCCACTTTCATTTTGGGAGCCATTTCTTTAGCATTGAAAAAGCAGAAGGTGCAGGTACTAAAGAAAGTACCTGAACTAAAAGTAACCTAGACAAATAGATTTCAAAAAGAGTGCTTTCAAATTCTCACTTGTATTAAGATTACAGTTTTTTTTTTTAAATGATCACAGTCTTAATCATCTATAAAGAGGATCAATTAAGGGTAAAGTAGAACAAAGCCCTGGGGGTGGCGGTGAATTTAAGTATCTATTAACTGCGATTATTAAACCAGAAATAAGTTACTACTCTTAATATATATTATATCTCTTGGCCAAACATAAATTTTTTTTTTGAAAAATCAAATGAAAATGTATGTTAAAATGTTCCCATTTTAACAATTTAGAAAAATTATTTTGAGAATCAGTGTTTAAAATATCCATATAATTTGCCAAGAATACGGTATTTATAACTAAGATTCTTTAACATTATCAAAAAAAATATTTTCTTTGTCTCTATTATAAAGACAGCAAAAAAGTTCAAAATAAGGCCATATATTAAGTACAAAGGTAGGCATTAATATAAAATTACTGAAATTTTTACCTTAAATCAGGCAGAGGCGAAGGATTTATAAAAAGGTTTTTAAATCTGTAATTTGTAAATCTGGAAAAGTCACTTGTTCCTATTTCTTTGTGGGGTGTTTCAATGATAATGCAAGGACTGATCCCCCCAGATAATACAGGTGGCCAACAGTTCTGTAAAAACAATATAAGTGCAATAAGAAACCAGCTTTTGTCTTGGATCTTTCATAAATGAAAGCTAATATTTCTAAACCGTCTGTAGTTTCCCTATTGTTAGCTAACAAAGCTGACCATCTAGCTAAATTAACTTGACATTCATCAATATGTCATATAACTTATCAGTCTTCATAAAGTCTAACAATCTGGCCATTTTAGACAGTAAAATACAATTCTGGTAATATATGAAGTTGCAGGGAGAGGAGGGGTAGCAACACAATTGCTTCTAAAGTCTAAAATACAAAGCATTTTCAAGATCATAAAATTGAAATTTTCCCTATAGTAGTAGAGGCCTTGGCTGGGTTATTTTTGTTTGTTTTGGTGATGGTAGTTTTTAAAGTAAAACTTGCTCAGCTACATTGGAATACTTAAAAGTAAACCTTAAAGTGGAATCAATTACTTAAAGGACCCTTTTCCTCCATCAAAGCTGGTTAAAAAGGGAAGCACTGTCCCCTCAAGTGCTTTCTGTTAACACACAGGAAGAATAGGTAGGTAGCAGTCGGATTTTGTGGGGCTGTGAGTGATCTCACATCCCTTATGCCCAGAAGCAGCTATTACAACTCTCCACTACAGTGTCAAGTGGGAACAAAGAGCAGTACATCTGATAGATTAGGCGGGCCCTGCCTTACCAAGCAGCTCCAAGAGGGAGGGATTTACAAAGAGGAACTGGCTGCTGGAAGACAACCTTACTCTGGCTGAAGTACAAAGTGCAGACAAACCCCGAAAAGGTTAAGTGCCTTCCTGCTGACCTCTGGGGCATTAAAAATCAAAGAGGAATCTTTCTGTGGCAGAGCATTAACATAACTATCTTTTGCCCTAACCTACATTTGTTTTCCTTAAAACCCATGCAGCCCAGTTTGGCATTACCCTGATCTCATATTGATGTTTCCTGGTGACCTCTTCTTTTCTTTTTTTGACATCCTGGAAAATGGAGGGAGAAAAAAAACCAACCCACTGGTAAACCAAGGTGTAAGGCAGGAAGGAATGAATGAGTCCATCAACCTCCCTCCTCTCAACTCACCTGGGTGGTTTTCCTCTTCTTGGCCTGGACTACCTGGGCTTCTTGAGGGGAATCTGGCTGGCTGGGTTGGGGCTGCTGCTTAGCTTGTAAACGGCTACTGTGGTGAAATTTTAAAAAGGAAGTTTAATTACTAAGTCATGCGTCCTGAAGGCAGCAGTTAGGGTTGAATAAAACACGTCCCCAACACCGAAAAACAAAAAGGTTACCTGCGTCTGGACATCCTCTTCTTTCTGGTGTTTGAAACCTCTGGAAAGGTGAAGAGAGAAAGAGTCAGGTTCCCCAGTCATTCATTTGCGAGTGCCGATTCGACGCTGGTTCGGAGGGTCCAGCCAAGCCCCTCGCGCCACCAGACGAGACCCAGAAGGCGAGAGCCAGGTTGCCAGGCTGTTCCTGTCTCAGCATCGCTATTTTCGGGCACCCGTTTGGGTTTCAAAACTTGCACAAAGCACCCCTTGTACCTGCAACGCGCAGGGAGGCAGCCCACCCCTAAATGGCTCCTTTCGGGGGCCCCCTTACACCCAGCTGGGGGCTCGGGCCGCGTCCCACCTTCCCGCTCCCGCCCTGGCCCGGCGCGGTCTCGGAGCGGGCTGTGGAGAAGCGCGGAGCAGCGGGTTCCGCGCCAATTTGGAGAGCGGCGGTGGCGGGGAAGCAGGGGGCGGAGGCAACCGAGGCTGGTGTCACGTCCTCCTCCTGGCGCCTTTCCCTCCTTTCCAGCCCCCGCGGCCCCCTGGGGGCGGGGGCACCGGGACCCCGACCGCGGACGAGGCGCCAGGGTCAGGAGGACCATCGGAGAGGAAACTGGGATGGTCAGGGGCTTCTGTCCCCGGGAAGGGGACTCGGACCCTCGTCCCCTCGTGCGGGATAGCGCCCCAGTGAGGAATGGGACGGGGAGCACCCCCAGAATAAAAGGATTTTCTGAGGCCTCCCGTTTGGGGGCACCCCCCCGCCACACCCCCAACCCCCTGCCGGGAGTCCTGACAGACGGAATGCAGGGACCCATTCTCTTCAGCCTCCCAGTCCTCCAGGATCCCTCCCTCAGGCTCCCGCCGCCGGCCGGCCGGCCGCGACGGATTGGCCCAGGGGGGATTTCCTCCTCATCCCCGACCACGGTCTGACCCCTCATCCCAGGCCCTGCTCACCGCCAGCCCCGCTACTGCTCGGCTCAGCTGGCGCCGGCGCCAACCCAATATATAGGCCGGGCCGGGCCCGCCCCGCACGCATGCGCCTCACACTGACACCTCGGGACCGCGCGCGCCCGCCCCTCCCCTGCCCTCCCCCGCCCGCCCGCGCGCCGCGCCCAGTGCTGCCCGGAGTCCGCGCCAGAGTCGACGGCGCGTCCCTGCAGGGACCGCTCGCTCTGCCTCTCGTCATCTCTTCACCTGTCGAGACGACTTGGCCGGGCAGTGAAGGGGCTCTCGGCTACGCCCTCCCTGCTCCCAGCTCTCCCGCCGGGACTCGCTGGTCTCCACCCACCCGCAACTCTCGGTTCCCGTTGTGAAAGGGTGCGGCTTGGCCCCGGCTTAAGACCTGGCAAGAGGCGACTCCGGCCAGCATAGAGTCCCTAAAAAGTGCTCAACCTGTGGAGCGTCTCCCGGATGCCCCGCCAAGGCCGCGCGGAACCCGGTTCTTTTTAGAGGCGGACACGCCCCCTCGGGGAGGAGCGGGAGGGCGATCTGGCCAATGAGAGCCGAGGAAGGCAGACCGCGTGGAGCGGCGGCAGAATGTAAACACTGCCGGGCGCGCCGCTGGCCACGTGTCTCCGCGCGCCACCCAGCGGCCCCGGGACCGCTCGCCGCGCGACCGTGCTCCAGGGCGGCATCTTGCCCTGGGCTCCAGCCCGACGACGTAGGTGACACTCCGGTTTTCCCAGCGGCCAGCTCTGCTTTCCCCACTCCAAGTTTCTTTCGCGCACCTAAAGGTAGGACACCTCTCCGGGCTAGGCGGGAGCTACGGTCCCCGGGCCCAGCGCGGCGGGAAAGCGGACGGCCGCACGTGCAGGCTCCGAGCCCGCCCGCCCGCTCGCCGTGCCCCGCCCCACGATCGCCGGCGCGCCCTGAGGAGCCCGCGCTAGCGGCCTGCGCGGGAGAGAGCCGCCCGCCTCCGGCCTACGGCGAAGAGGCGGGTCCACCCCGTTTCCTTTCCGTTCCCCCTAGACTTCGACTTAGGGGGGCTCAAGCTATCCAGGCGCCCGGGCCAGAACTGGACTTGTCGAGTCGTGGGGCTTGTCGACGGTGCTCGGCAGACGGGTCTGACGGCGGGAGAAATGGGCTTGGGCACACCTACAGGAACAAAGGTCGCCGGTATGGGGGAGGGCTTCCTCGAGCCCGCGGCGCCTCGGCTTGCTTCTTGGCCGGCCCGGAGTGAGCCTGTGGGGGCGACCCGGGCGGGCCGGCGTTCGCAGTGGGAACCCGGGCGGGAGCCCTTCCCGAGATGCACCGGGAGGCGGCAGCCCGGGCGCCTGCAGGGTCTCCCGCCCCCCCACGCCTTTTGTCTTGCCCACGCTGGCCCGGGCGCGGGAGCCTGGAAATAACGAGTGAGCAAAGTTCATACATATGTCACACTTGGATTCTGAACAGTCTGGTGACGACGTCGACAAAGTAATTGCTATTATATTTAAGGACATAGCAAGAGGCCCAGCACCTTGTCACTCCCCCCAAACTATACTCTGTAACAACACTGTGATCTCCCAGGGCAGTCACCTAAAATATATGTACATATATAAATCCAAGACCTAAGGAGGATGGAAAGAAAAGGGAGATCTTCCATCAAGCGTGTAACAAAAGAATGGCTTTGAGCATCTGAATACACTGAAAGTCCAGGGTGTTGGTTGACATTTTTAGAATTAATCTTTGCATATTGTATGCTGGTCCCCGGGTTACCTAGTAGATAGATTGCCAACAAGACACTAATTTGAAATGTACTTTGGTTATGCCCTGACTCTTAAGCAAACTAAATGCAATCATAATAAAGGATAAATTAGAAACACTCCCAAGACTGCTTTGTGTCGAAATGAACGGAGTGAACTTGCCACATTACAAATACCTGGACTTGCCTCTCAGACAGATGAAGGTTCTAAAGCTGCAAATCATTGAATCCTTGTGAACATGAACTTCCTCAAGAAGATGCTTATCTTTGGTCGTTTGAAGATTAAATGTGATAATATGTACAGACACCCTCAATTGAATTATGTACCTGGCTCAGTAATAACTCTTCCCCGCTCTTTTGTGAGCTTATTTCCATAGAAATTTAGTTGGAGGTCTCAGGAACCTTCTTAAAGGCTGAATTATAAAATTGATGTTTCTCATAATTCATTTTGTAATGCTTTGTTGGATATATTTAGCAGTGACATCATTTTATATTTTCACCTATTTATATTATTTTCCTACCCATGAGGATCCCTGGTCGTGTAGTGGGTTAGGACTGTGGGGTCCCTACAGGTGTAATCAACTCCAGGCAGTGAGTTTTGGGTGAGTTACCACCCATCCTAGTTTTTAAAATCCGTCTAATTTGAAATGTATAAAATTAATTTATACTTGTAATAATTTTAGACAGTTTGTCTTTTTTTTCTAAAATATACTTCCCCATAGCAAACTATTATATGTATAAATTTATTATTGAATCAATATGTGATGCCTGTTTCCATAGTTTTCCCCTATGCCTTTTGTTCCAGGCTCTTAATCAAAAACCATATTCCTTGTAGCTGCCATGTTTCCTTAGACTCCTCTTAGCCGACGGTGCCTCAGACTTTCCCTGCTTGTCTTCATCTGGGGGGTTTTGAGACTGTCCTATAGGATTTCTTTCTATTGGGATTTTTCTGATCTTTTAAATTTTCTCCTAATTAGAATGTGATTATAGGTTTGGTGAAGGAAACCCATAGAGATGAAGTGCCAAGTTCCTCGTAACATATCAAGGTACATAGTATCTACATGATTTATGACTGTTGATGTTGACCTTGATCACCAGACTGAGATAATGTTTGTCAGGTTTCTCTTCTGTGAAGTTAGTCTTTGCCCTCTCCCCCTTTCCAGACTGTAGTCTCTGCAAGGAAATCACCATGCACCACTTATACTTCAGAAGTGAGGTTTGTCTCAAGTTCAAGTTAACGTTGTAATGCCAGTGAGAAATGCTCAGGATAGAGTTTACTTATTCGGACGTATTACGAAGTTCTTTCAGGTCTGCTAATAAATGCTCCCAGGGGCATACCACTCCACTGTAAATAGCAACCTGAACACATTCAGCTCAAACTCCATGGGTCAGCAAACCCAGCTCCCTGAATTAAGTGTCCAGAGGCTCCTTAGTCTGAAGGCACTCAGCCTTACTTCTGTGGGTCAGCAAGCCCAGAGGCAGCCCGCTACACAAGCCAGCCAGGAGGTACAGAAGCAGCTTTACTGGCTCTTCGGTTGAGAAGTCCACCACTCTGTTCTGTGCTCTGGCTCCTGGTTCTGCTGCTGCTCTTCTGAGCCTGCAGCTGTCTTCTAGAGACAGGAGGCTCACTGTGCAGAGAGCTCAGGGGCAAAGAACGTGCCCCACTCTTGGCTCTTTCTGATAATGAAGTCCATCCTCCTGCTTCTCAAAAAGGCTCATTCCAGGGAATCTTGTTTACAATTACTCACAGGTGAATCTTATCAGTGTCTTCCCCCCAACCTTCTTACCAGACCCATGCAGGCAAAAGGTGGTTTGGTGGGAGTTAAGAGACTTTAGTGACTGGAAGAGCCACATTAAATAATTTACTGCCCTGCAATGGAAACTGTAAAATAAAGTAATATGGTACAGGGTCGCTGTCTGGGAAAGACTCACAGAGAAAGTGGCGTTTTATTTAGTTCATTAATAAAGCTGGACATAGTAGTCAAGCGAGCAAGATTTCCAATTCTAGTGGTAAGGGGAGCATAGAAAACAAATAAATAACATGATCCCTTCAAGACCAGTGGTGAGAGTGGCAATACTGGGAGGGTGGAGGGAAGGTGGGGGAGAAAAGGGGAACCGATTACAAGGGTCTACACATAACCTCCTCCCTGGGGGACGGACAACAAAAAAGTGGGTGAAGGGAGATGTAAAACATGACAAAATAATAATTTATAAGTTATCAAGGGTTCATGAAGGAGGGGAAAAATGAGCTGATACCAAGGGCTCAAGTAGAAATCAAATGTTCTGAAAATGATGATGGCTACAAATGTGTTTGACACAATGGATGGATGTCTGGACTGTGGTAAGAGTTGTATGAGCCCCCAATAAAATGATTTT